CCGTAGATCTATCCTCCTTTGTAATAGAATAAAAAAAAAAAAAACTTTATAAATGGACAGTTGTCTATTTGTAACAAGTCTCTAACAGAACCCTGGCTTGAACAAGTTAATCGAAACACTCCCTTCCCAAACAACTATACCAGGAAAGGCTTGATTTGTGCTCATGAATATGTATTTTTATGTGGAGGATCAGATTATACTACAGAAAAGGCACCAAAACCAAATAATCAATCTTACACTTGGGCATTACCCTGTTTAAATGGATGGAACATGATGGGTCATTGCACCCTGGGTCTTCTAGGAGTTCCTTTAGACATTCATTCTTGCAATGAAAGCAGACATTGGACTAATGACTTAAATATCCTAGTCAGGAATCACAGAGGAATCAAAGACACTTATGGATATTACAATCAAATAGAAAAATACCCCATCCTTGAATACAGTTTCTTAGATCATTCTCCTCCTTTGTCAGAGTAGCCTAATTAGAAAGGGCTGTCCAAAATATGTCAGCTACTATGGAACAGCTAGCTAATGAAATTGCAGATAACCCTTCAGCACAACAAGAATCCTTGGTGTCTTTAGTTAAAGCAGTTTTGGACAAGAGGATAGCTCTTGACTTTCTATTAGCACAACAAGGAGGAGTATGTGCCATTGCCAACACTTCTTGTTGCACCTGGATAAATACCATTGGAAGAGTAGAACAGGGCATAAAGAAAATTTGACGGAATACTACCTGGCTCCATATAGAAGATGCTAGCGGCCCCGATGATTGGTTTGACACTTTCAGTTGGTTATCTAATGACATCAAATCTTTTGTCAGCTCTCTTGTGAAAACTGGGCTAGTTATACTCCTTTTCATTACCGTTTTCTTTTGCCTGATTCAATGTTTCTTTTCTTGTATTACCTGCTTCTGTACCGAAGCACTCATGCCACTCATAGACAACGTGTCATGTAATTTGAAGAAACTGTTGAGGCCTCTGTAGACTCACCTGTTCCCTAACTTGAGTCCTTGCCTACGACCACTGCTTCCTCTTTAAATTCAGCCTTCCACCCAGTCAGTCCTCTAAGATTTGAAATAGCATGGTAAAGATGCCTGCAGTGGTGCCTGGTTATCCATCTGGTGACATTCGAAACAGTCATCCATCTGATAGTGTCCAGGGTCTTAAAAGACTAAAAACGTGAGTCACCACGCATTTGACCATTCACAGCCCTTGCAGAAGATGCGTTGCTCTTTCTGGGTGATACGATACCAGCTCACCATGAAGACCAAAATAGAGCAAGGTAACAGTAAGTCCATGCATAATGATCAATGAATTTTAATAATATTCTTGATCAAAAGGAGGCAATGACAAACAGAATAATCCAACATAAGCTGCTGATCTATCCTGGACTCACATCAAGGGAGCAAGAGTGACTCCATCTTGACCCATTTCTAAGAGTTACTCCATCTTAACTTATTTCTAAGCATGTTCTGTTAGATTATTTTCATATGTTTCAGGAAACAGCTGCACCCACAAATAGTTGGTGGTCAGATGATTCTCAGAAAAACACCTTGGCTCCCCCACCTGAAATAATCCTTGCCTGACCATGTACCTGTAATGGTCCTATCCAAAAAAAGACCCACTTCTAACATAGCTCACCTTCAGTTTCCTGATCGCTCAACTACCAATGAAAAGAGCTTTAGCTGTACCCCAGCTGCCTGTTTTTACCGTTACAAACCCTCATTGTTCCATTCCTCAGCAGAGTGGCTAATCTTACCATGTAAAACTTGCTGCCTCCTCAATTCAAGTTGCTTGTATTCTCAATAAATCTCTCTTTAACTAGAATTTGTCAGAGTCTGCGTTTTACTCTCGGACAAAACTAAAAAAACATTGAATTTTAAACTTTAAATAGATGAATTGTATGTTATGTGAATTATCTCAATAAAACAGTTTAAAAAAAAAAACCACCTAGTATCATTCTCATAGAATCGTATAAATTATTAATCAACCAAGTTTCTAGTTTTTTGGATACTCATACTGACTACTTTTTTTACCCTGATTCACCCTAGCATTTAGCCATAGTTTAGATAATTGCTCATTAACTGAAACACTACTGCCAAAATGTTCCACATGTAATGTTCCATGGTAATCTCCAAGGTAATCAGTCATAGAGATAAATACACAGTTTTGAAAGAGAAGCAACACATTAGAGGCATCGGAGACATTGGCTTAAGTCGTATTTTTAAAAAGTGCCTTTTAAGAATGACTTGGCAGTTTGAGGTTTTGTTCCCCTGACCTGCCCAGAGTTCAACATTCAGCTCAACTCTTAAATGTTGAGATTTCAGCCTGGATGTGTGTTACTTGTAGAGACCCATGTAGGGAAACAAGATGAGCTCAGAGGTGGGCACAGGACCCTTGCTGCCCCCACATCACCCAGCTGGGAGCCCTGCTGGAGAGAAATCCCTAATGTTCACTTGGAATTTACTTAGATCAGGATTTCTCAGCTTTGCACTATTGATATTTTTTAGGAAGGAGAATTTTTTGCTGCAGGGTTAAGGTATGTCCTGGGCATTGTAGGCTGTTTGGCAGCATCCCTGACCTCTACCTACTAGTTGACAGTAGCAAACCCTAACTGTGACACCAGAAATGTCTTCAGACATTACCTCCGGTGGGGGGGAATCACCCCCAGTTGGGAATCACTGATCTAGGTGATTCTAGAACACAAGAGGAGGAAACAAGAACAGAAGGGCTAGCCTTGAGGAATTGGGATCTAGTCTTCTGAAAACTAAGGAGCCTGGTGGCAGTGTGGTCAAGCATTTGGCTGCTAACTGAAAGGTTGGCAGTTGGAACCTAACAGCTGCTCCGTGGAAGAAAGATGTACCAGTCTACTTCCATAAAGATTACAGCCTTGTAAATCTTTGGGGCAGTTCTACTCTGTCCTGTAGGTTCACTATGAGTAGGAATCAACTCAACAGCGTTGGGCTTCTGAAAACTGCTCACTAAAGAATGTCGCAAGAAATCCAGGATGATTTTATCACAGAGAGAAAACTCACAGAGAGAAAGTTCCAGCTTGTATTGAGCTAGGCTCCAATAAAGAGAAGCATAGGACAAATTTGGTCCTAACAGTCTACAAAGCACTTTCACATGCTCTTTGTTGCCCCATTTGATGCTCAAACAACCCTGTGAGGTGGAAAGGCAGACTTCATCAGCCCCATTGTGCGGATAAGGAAACTGAGGCCCAAGACCACATGGCTGGGAGAAGGCTAGTCACATCCACAGACTCCTCATTCAGCCTCCTTTCATCCCTTCTTTTCGCTGTTTTTTTCCAGTCCTTGTATAATGAGACAAATAGTGCAGAGCCAAAACGTGAGCTTAGGGTGGGAGGGTGAAAAGGACTGGGTTTCATCCTCCTCTGTCCTGGGCTGCACCTGCGGCCTCAGGCAGTTCACTCAACTGACCCAGAGGCCTCCGTTTGTTCATTGAAATGAGAAAGTTGGACTAAATTACGTCTGAGGGCCTCCATCCAATTATTATACCCTAAAATGACCTTGTCACATTAGTGTTATGTTTATGATTTTCAAAGTTCCTCCGTGAACTTGAGCTTACCTGACACCCACCAGGACTGTTGAGTGTTCCCATTTCACAGATGGAGCAACGAACACTCAGACATGAACAACATGCCCCAGCCTCCACACAGCTGGGTTCAAATCCAACTCTTAGCTCGTATCCTGAGCTCTTGCTCTACTAAGGTCATGGGGACAAGGGGGAGCTCTGGGGCCAGCAGGGGAGTGGAAAGCTGGCCCTTCCCGCCATTGCTTGGGCTTGAGCTCATTGCTTAGATATTCTAGAGGCCTATCTAAGGTGCAGCATGTATGGCACATGCCCAGAGGACCACTTGAAGGGCACCACTGAATAGTCTCTATTACCCATCGCAGTTTCCATCGCCAGCAGTGAGAGATCATTCAGCAAGGTAAGACTAATACCTTTGTATCTGAAAGCCTCCATGGGTCAAGGAAGGAACCCTGGTAGTGCAGTGGTTAAAGTGATTGACTGCTAACCGAAAGGTCTGCAGTTCAAAACCACTGGTGGCTCTACTAGAGAAAGATGTGGCAGTCTGCTTTCCTAGAGATTTATAGCCTCAGAAACCCTGTGGGGTCGCTATGAGTCAGAATCATCTTGATGGCAGGTTTGGGTTTTATGGGTCAAGGCAGACTGTGTGACCTTATTCTGTTGAGTATAAAAAGAGAAGAAACTGGGAAAAAAATGAACACATCATAGGCCAGTTTTCATCAGTGAAAGCAAGGGAAGTGTAGTTGGAATTTTCACGTAGTGCCATGATGTGTTAAGCAAAAGATTAACGGGCTTAGCTTGCGTTTTGGGGTTGATATTATGGTAAAGTTATCTAAAAGATGCGTGTCTGAGGCTTGGACAGGGGTGCAATATCAGAGCTTGCCGTAGGCACTATTTTTCATAGACACAGCTCTGCTCATTGCCCCCTCCCACAGAGCAGGCTGAGCTGAGAGGATGTGCTTGTTCTCAGAGAAAGTGCCAGCCAGAACTCAGCTTCAAGGTCAGTACAATACCAGCAGGAAGAGTCCTTTCAAAACTGTTCAAAACCTTGAGCAATTCCCTGCATTGCTAGCAGCATCATATCTAAGGAAATAGCGCCTATGGCAATTAGTTTTAAATTGCTCAATGATCTCTCACAGCTGACGATGGAAACCAGGATGGTGGTTAAAAACTCCTCAGTGGTGCCCCCACCCCTCCTCAAGTGACGCCCAGGGCACGTGCCATGCTTGCCATACCTTAGATATGCCTATGCCTAGTGCCAAAAAACCAGGCTTCATTTTCAATTCTTTGTTCTGAGACAAACCCTCCAATGGTCCTTCCACTAATGAAATGTAAAGCTAAACTCTCTTCTGAAATGGAGATGTTTGAGATTTGAGGCTCCCAATAGCAAATGAGGTTACTGTGGGAAAGACAGAACTCAACCGAGAAATAAGTAGGATGACTCGACGCTCAGGCCCCTGGCCAGGATTTGAGCCTCTGTGGGCAGACCGGCAGGGTGTCTTAGTCATCTAGTGCTGCCCTAACAGAAATACCACAAGTGGATGGCTTTAACAAAGAGAAGTTTATTCTCTCACAGTCCAGTAGGGCGCTGGCTCCAGGGGAAGGCTTTCTCTCTCTGTTGGCTCTGAAGAAAGGTCTTTGTCTTCAGTCTTCCCTTGGTCTGGGAGCATCTCCGCGTAGGAACCTCAGGTCCAAAGGATGCGCTCTGCTCCCAGTGCTGCTCTCTTGGTGTTATGAGGTCCCCATATCTCTCTGCTCACTTGTCTTTTCTATCTCAAAAGACATTGGCTGAAGACACTATATAATCTTGTAGATCTCATCAATGTAACTGCCACTAATCCATCTCATTACATCATAGAAATAGGATTTACAGCACATAGGGAAATCACATCAGATGACAAAATGATAGACAGTCATACAATACTGGGAATCATGACCTACACAAGTTGACAGATATTTTGGGGGGACAGAATTCAATCCATGACACAGGGCCTAAAAATAAAGGCTTTTTCCAGGAGAGACTGTATGAGATTCTGGGGAGAAGTCAGGACCAGAGAACAGACAGAAAGATTGACAAGGCAGCGGCAGAATGGCTTCGGGACCAGTTGGCAAAGGGGGACACAGGGCTGGAGAGGAGGCCCTTGACAGGGCCAGGTAAGTGGCTTCAGAAGGTCTGGGGAAGCCCCCATGACCCAAACTCTGAGGTACTCACAGTGGGAACCACTAGTCAGGCAGTAAGGGGCTTCTCCACAGGCCCCTTGGACAGAGGGGGAAGAGTAGCTGCCAGACAGTGTGTGAGCATGCACGAGGGGCTCCAGAAATAACCAGGGAGCCCCCAAGTGGCCAAGTCCCCCATGGGAAAGGAGGCAGGTAATTTGTGGTCAGAGGCCCTCTCACGTGGGCATAAGAGAAGTGATTATTGTATCCTCTCACTTGGTGAAGCTGTGAGCAAGGAGGCCCCACCAAGAAAGGCCTTCCCTAGACAGTGGTTCACGGCATCATACAAGGAACGTCCACCAAGCTATGGCCTTTGAAAGGCTTTGCACATTTTCTTCATAGTGTTGGAACAGTTTGATTGACCAAAGAAATCAGATTCTGATGACTGTCATTTAACTCCTAATAATTATAAGTACAAATTAATAATTACATGTTGTAATGTAGAAGCCTCTCTACAGGGACATTCTGGGATGAAAATTGAGATACAAACCCAGGTAAGCTCCAGATAAAGTGCAATTACTACAGTCTGGTTTTTCAATATGTTTGAATACCCCTCATTGACATATCTATCTCTAACTCTGTATCTTTTGTTATTGATGTTGTTGGGTGCCATTGAGTCAATTTTTGACTCATAGTGACCCCACGTGACGGAGTAGAACTGCCACATAGGGTATCCTAGGCCATAATCTTTACGGGAGCAGATGGCAAGTTCTCTTCTGCCACGAAGCCTCTGTGTAGGTTCAACTGCCAACCTTTCAGTTAGCTTAACCACTTCAGCACCAGGCTTATACACACACACACACACACACACACACAATAAAAACCTGCAAAAGGCTAGAACCTATGTGTCATGAATTGAACTGTGTCCCCCAGAAATATGTGTCAACTTGGTTAGGCCATGATTCCCAGTATTGTGTGGTTGTCCACCTTTTTGTGATCTGATGTGATTTTCCTCTGTATAGTAGGTCCTAACCTCTATGACGTTAATGGGAGCCCTGGTGATATAGTGGTTAAGCATTTGGCTGCTAACCAAAAGATCGGAAGTTCAAATACACCAGCCATTCCTTGGAAACCCCATGGGACAGTTCTACTCTGTCCTATAGGATCGCTGTGAGTTGGAATCCACTCAACAGCAATGGGTTTTATGGTGTGAATAAGGTAGTCTTAGAGACAGTTATGTTAATGAGGCAGGACTCAATCTACAGGATTAGTTTGCGTCTTCAGTTAATCTCTTATCAGATATAAAAGAGAGAATCCAGCAAAGAGGAGAGGGACCTCCTACCACCAAGAAAACAGAGCCAGGAGCAGAACATGTCCTTTTGTCCTGGGGTACCTGTGCTGAAACTCTCTTAGACCAGTGGCAGATTGATAACATGGACCTTCCCCCAGAACCAACAGAGACAGAAAGCCTTCCCTGGGAGCTGGTGCCCTGAATTCGGACTTCCAGCATCCTGAACTTTGAGAGAATGAATTTCTCTTTGTTGAAGCCATCCACTTGTGATGTTTCTGTTGTACCAGCACCTAAGACACTATGTAAGGCAAAACCTGTCAGAGAAGGAAACTTCAAATATTGTCCACTAATAGAGAGTGATAGAAAAGTGCTAAGTTGCACCCTGTCAAAGGCAGAAAACTCACGAGACCCAGAAAAACAAGGCAGTCCCACTGAGTCCCGGCTCTCAATGGTTTCATTGAACCATTGCTCCAAGGAGAAATATAGTGTTAGGTTCCTGCAAGCCTCTGATCACACATTTTCATCAAATGATCAATGAACAACCTTGTTTTAGTGTGTTTCTGTTTAAAGACACCTTATTAATAGATTTCATTTATTCATTACCATTGAACTCATGACTAACAGCACTTACTCATACCTGAATGAAGCTTACCTAAAAGCACTTCAGCATTACCACTGGGGCCATTTTAAAAAGTGAAATCACCAACAAAGAGCACAAAAATGCAAAAGACTTGGCACTGAATAGACAGCCAAAAGGACACTTGTTTACAGGAAGAGAATATAAACAAGAATAGACAGCGTCACCTCGTTTGTCTTTGGCTAGGAACGTGTACATCAGGTGACTCAAAGTTTTCACCACTCTGGACATGTGTGCGAATGACCACAAAGGTGGCAAGAGTATTGACTTGGGGGTTAGGAATATATTTTAGAGAGTAGGTAAATTTGCAGATATGAAGTCTGTAAATAATGAAGATCAACCATATAGAGAGAGAGTAAATATAGTTATAGATAGATCTATTTCTCATAAGTGTTGAGGATGATTTCTATGTCTTCATTAATAAGTTATAATAGGGATTCTAATCTCACAAACACATTCATTACCAAGCAGGCCTTTTTTGTTGTTGTTAGGTTTTTGTTTTGTTTTCAAAAATAGGATGGATAGTACCAAGGTACAATGAATGATTTTTTTCCATCTTAAGAAAAATGTTTCTTATGACACTTTTGCTTATTAACATCTTTAGTTGAATTTTCCTGAAAAACCCAAAACCAAACCCATCGAGTCAATTCCATCTCAGAGCATCTTCATAGGACAGAGTGGAACTATCCCATAGAGTTTCCAAGACTACGGAGAAGCAGGTGGGTTCGAACTTTCAACCTTTTACTTAGCAGTTGAGTTCTTAACCACTGCACCACCAGGGCACCTTCCTTTCTGACATAAGAGGTTTCTGTTTCAAGACCCTTTTTCCTTAGAACCAGCCCAGTTCTGCCGATCATCACTGCCACTCTCTTTACACGGTACTACAGCCAATTATCCAACTTGTTAAGAAAGAAATTAGCAAATATTAAAGAAGGGGGGTAATGGTGTTTGGGGCATTTAAGGCTTTTTCTCTGGTGAAAAATGCAGTGAAAAAGAGAATTCTGGTCTTAAAGACAGGCAGTGGTCTGAAGCCTTTCATATCTGTAAATACTCAAATATACACATACACACACACACACACATTTTCATTTTCCAAAGTAACTCTGGGAACTTTAGGTCAGGAATCAGCAAACTTTTTCTCCAAAAAGCCAGATAAAAGCTATATAGGCTTTGAAGACCACATATGTTTCTTTCCTATATTGTTTGTGTTTCTTGTTGTTTAATATCCCTTTAAAAATGTAAAAACCATTCTTAGCTCTGGGTCTTTCAAAACCAGGCCTCTGGCCAGATTTGGCCCACAGGCTGTAGTTTGTTGACCTCTGGCTTAGGGCCCAGGAAAACTGCAGGGGACAGAGTTGCAAGAATGCATTTGAACCAGGACTGTCCTCCCAGCTCTTGACCCCTTGGGCAAGCTTTCCCTCTGTCTCCTCAACAGGACGTGTAGGCTCATTCTATGATTCTGAGTCTCTCCTCAGACAACCTAGCACCAGCCCTGTCTTCATTTAAATCCTCTGCATCAACTCAGCCTCAGATGTCTTACCACCCCCTCTACTCCCCACCTGCAGCCCCTTTCCCCTTTATTGAAAGGAAAGCTGCCATTTCTTCAGGCAGCCCTCCTAGATGGACTGGAGAGGCTGACTGAGTGAGGGGAGACAGAGTACATATGAATGATTTCTGCCTACATTCTAAGAAACAGGGCAAACAAAAATAGGTAAAACCACCAACCTGAACTAGGCGTCCCACCTTCTTGCAGCTGGTCCCTCCAATGAAGACCATGTTGGGCATGACTGGCCTGGGGTACTCGAACACGAAGTCATACCTTAACAGCCAAATGGAGACCTTCTGATATAATGTGACTAAGTCCACATCTCTCTTGAGGAGATTTGAAGTGAGATTTTGGTACTTTGAAAACAAAAGGTAAAGCAGAGGGGTCTCCAACAAATCAGCAAGGAAGTTGGCCACCCGTTGGCGGAAAGTCATCTGGTCAGAGAACTGAGTATAGTACCTGGGAATATAGGACACAGGGCTTGGGCTTCCACTGAACTTGTACTCCAAGGCACACGGGAAGCCCCGGAAGAGATACACAGAGGGCAGGCCCAGGTACTCAGCCAGGATCACACCACAGGGCAAGGCTGGGTCTGTGAAAAGGGCATCGAACTTACTCTCCCTGAGGAACTGCAGGGTCTCCGAGTCCTTCAGGAGGCTCTCGCAGTTGGTGAAGAACATGTTGACAACAATCATGTTATTCCTGTACTCCATCTGAGGGGTGCTCAGGTAAGATCTCTCAGCAAAATGGCCATTTCCAAAAGAGCGGAAACGGTCCTTCAGTTCTTCCTCTGGGTATGGCACTGGATAGACTTTTCTTGTGTAGTATTTGGATTCCCTCAGAAGCAAATTAACTTCTGGCACCACCACCACAATGTCATGCCCCCTCTTGCTGAGAAGCTCAACTATCTCCTTCATACTAAGCCAGTGGCTTCCATCCTGAGGAACAACCAGCAGCTTCTCACCTCCAATCACACTCCAAAGTGCTAACAAGAAAACCCCAGCAGAAGCCCTCTGAAATGCTTGCAGAAGGCAGGCCATGCTGGAGGGGGTGAAAGTAAAATAACAACGATGATGTTGAATCATTTACACTGCCTAAACCACAGGCTTCCTAATGATCTTCCCTAAACTAACCAGTATTCGTCCCAAACCCAGCCTACCTCTCCCTTGCTCTGAATTTTGCCCTTTGATATGAAAGAAACAATAATTAATATTTAACTGTTTCTAAGCACCCAGCTAGCTTGGACCAATGAGGTCCCTTAGCAGCTTGCGCCTGAACTTCTAGCTTTGTTTTTCTCTTTGTCACTATCATCTGTCTCTGCCTCTCCAAGGAGGAAGCGTGGCAGTTTGACAACACATTGGGAAGGTCTCCGGAGGTCTACTGCTATGCTACATCCTGAGCTCCCCAGAATCCACCTCATCAGTGATGTCTGCAAGTGAACAGCTATCACTACATATCAACTTTCTTACCAAATTTCTCAGAGTGAAAAGGAAGAGTTATCTTAACAGATTCAAGACTACACAATGGTGTCACACACCTCAAGTTCTGGTGATCACAACAAGGGAGAGATTGAAACGTGGGCTGAGGCATGAGGAGTGGATGGAAGAAGTCGGCTAGAACTTCCCACCCATACTCGTCTTGCATAAACCATTGCTGTTGGTAGGATTTCCGTTACCTGCAGCCAAGTCTACTCCTCACAGATATACCCTCTGTTGTTATTGTTAATTGCTGTTGAGTCAGTTCTGACTCACAGGGACCGCATGTGTCACAGAGTAGAAAGAACTAAGCTCCATAGGGTTTTCTTGGCTTTAATCTTTATGGAAGTTGTCCCTAGGTGGTGCAAATGATTAAGTATTCAACTACTAGCCAGAGGGTTGGCAGTTTGAACCCACCCAAAGGTGTCCGGAGAGACCTGGTGATCTTCTTCTGAAGTCACAGCCTTGAAAATCCTATGGAGCAGTTCTACTCTGCACATGTCAGGTATGAACTGAAAGGCCCTTTGGTTAGCCAAAAAGTCGTTCCTAAAAACCAACTCAATGAGCCAGCCCTGCCCTGGGAAACTGAAGTGGGGGGCCAAGGAGGAGTGTGGCAGGGAGATGGAGAGGGAGAGATGAATGAGAAAGAGCTTGGGGGAGGAAGATAAGAGAGAAAGAGATTGAGAGGGAGAGAGAGAGACAGAGGAGAAAGGGAGGGAGAGACGAGCAGTGAATGGGAACAGAAGAGGAGGCTGAGAAAATAACAGAGGGGAGAAGGTGTAGAAATTACAAATGGTGGGTAAGTCGCAGGGTTAAAGACAGGGAGGGTGGGTGACCTATGTCCTACCTGCTCACCTCGTGGCTGAGGGTGGCCCAAGAGGGTGGTGGCTGTGGAAAGCAGGCTGTCTAAGTGAAAGGTGGTTCTTACAATTCTGGTACAGACTCGCCCAGAGCTAGTCACACACCAGCTGCACAGCCTCATGGCCGAGCTGGCACTCCAGGAGCTGTCCTAAGCAGATAACTTGGAGAAGGAAACATACTTCCTGGAATGGAAGGAGAAGAAGCTCGAGGAACAGGGCTTAAGGAGCCACAGGGAAGGCCCCAGGGATGCAACCAAGATGCAAATGCTGTGTTCAAGGTGTGAAAAGACTACTCAGTGTCAGCTGGCTGCAGGATTCCAGGGCTCCTTCCTGGGGAGGGGCGCCTGCAGAGTGTCCTGCTCACAGGGATCTGGGCTGGAAAGTGGCAGCATCCTAGTCCCGGTCTAGACATCAGCAAGACCCTAAATCTGTTGCCGTCAAGTGGATTCCGACTCATAGTGACCCTATCTGACAGAATAGAACGACCCCATAGGGTTTCCAAGGCTGTAATCTTTACAGAAGCAGACTGCCACATCTTTCTCCCATGGAGTGGCTGGTGGGTTAGAACAACTGACTTTTGGTTAGCAGCTGAGTGCTTAACCATTGTGTCACCAGGGCTGTTTTCCTGCCATATAGGCCAGCTCAACAATGGTAAGCTGTGCTATTGTTTTTCCATGATCATTATTATGGACTGAATTGTGCCCCCAAAAAAGTTAAGTTGAACTCCTAAACCCTGTACCTGTGAGCATGACCTCGTTTGGAAATGGGATCATTAGAGATGTTACCAGTTAAGTTAACATGATGTCATACTGGAGTAGGGTGGGTCCTCATCCAATATGGCTGGTGCCCTTATGAAAGAAGAGAAGAGACAGAGACACACACACAGAGGGAAAACGTCCATGAGATGACAGAGGCAGAGACTGGAATGATCCACAAGCCAAGAAATGCCAAAGATCACCAACTTTACCAGACTGGGAAAGAGGCATGGAACAGATTTTCCCTCAGAGCCTCAGAAGGAATCGACATGACTGACACCCTGATTTCTGACTTCTAGCCTCCAGAACTGGGTACAATAAATTTACTTCCTTGGAGTCTCCAGGTGCTACAAATGGTTAAGCACTCAACTATTAGTCAAAAAGTTGCCAGTTTGAACATACCCAGAAGCACCTAGGAAGACAGGCCTGGCGATCTGCTTCCGAAAGGCCACAGCCTTGAAAACTCTACAGAGCAGTTCTACTGTGCACAAGTAGAGTCACCATGAAAGCAACTAACAACAAATCCACGTTTAATCCAAGATCTTGGCATGGACGGAGACCCACACCTGGGAGGCACCTTCATGCAAACCCACACTCTGAAGGAAGCTGCTCCTCCTAAAACATAAATAGTTCTGGAAGTCTGTCCACTTCTACACCCGGGCATTTGTCAAACGTGAGAATGGTGAACGGACACTTTTAAAAGGCATGCTCATTGCCTTGCTTTTTCTCCCCCATTCAATGCCTCAGTCAAGTTCTTGAATGCCACAGGGCAGGCAGGTGGAGTAGAACAGGTGGGCAGACTCAGGTGGGGCAGGAAAAGGGACAGCTGGTTACAGAAGGAAAGTCAAAAGGAGAGAGGGCAGTGGGAAGTGAAGACATCAGCTTTTTGATACTCTCAAAGTTAATATTTGTCCCTTTGACTACAAATTTGCACCTAAAAAGAGAAGCATACATGAAGTTAAAGGAGCCCTGGTGGTGCAATGGTTAACTGCTCAGCTGCTAACCAAAACGTTGGCAGTTCAAACCCACAAGCCAATCCAAGGGAGAACGATGTGGCAGTCTGCTTCTGTAAAGATGACAGCCTTGGAAACCCTATGGAGGAGTTCTATTCTGTCCGATAGGGTCACTATGAGTTGAAATTGACTCAACAGCAATGGGTCTTTGAACATGAAATGGCAGAAATCCTGGCAGGCAGGTAGGAGCCTTGGGTTCTGTCCTGGAGTTTCCACTCTGCATTTTTCAGGAACACAAGAAGATCTGCTTCCACCCTTCCTGCCCCAGTCAGCCCCTACTCTGCAGTTCCCTATGCACAGGGGGGAGCCTGTGACTAGGGGTGCCCAGATATGGCTGCCTCAGAACAAAGGGGACCAGGTATGACTGGTTTTCAGAAGTGGGAAGTGGACAGCAGGGAGGTAAGTCAGCAAAAGATAAAAAGCTTTGCTCATCAAAGAACACTATCAGAGACTGAAAAGACAACCCACACAATGGGAGAAAATATATATGTCATATATTTGATAAAGGACTTGTATTTGGACTATATAGAGATCTTCCACAACTAAAGAATGAAAAGACCAACAATTCAATTAAAAAATGGGCAAAACCTACTTCCAGGCAACATGGCACTCTAGGTAGAAGCACCATGCCATCCCTCCACAGCAAAGATCTGAAAAACTAAGCCATACAGAGAAAACAGCAACCCCGAAACCCTAAGCATCAAATGAAGAGATAAAGAACTCAGCCAAGCACCAAATGGAATAACAAACTGACAGAGAACAGAGAGCAAGGAGAGATACATGCAGAGGTCCCCTATCAGCTAATGCAGCACGGATCTGCCATCTTGGACTCCTATCAGAGACCAGCGAACAGGGGGTATGAGAAAGCAGCTTCACGGAGCTTCCAGCAGGAAACAGAACAACCAGTAACCAGCAATATACACTTTCCCACCTCCCACCCTTCTTCTCCCCCACTCAGCCTCCTCTGCTTCCTGCGGCCAGTCTTTTGGCCGGGAAGCACCAGCTGTTTGGATTCCACCAGCCCACACTGGTCAACTCCCTGAGTGCCATTTATTGGCTGCTGGTGTTGCTTTTTTCTGCTTCTTTTGATTTCTTCCTTACCTCTCACCACCTCCCCCTCCTTTCTCTCAAATACCTGGCCCCGTGCACCATCTTTGCATCTTCCTGAAAGGCTGTGAAACTCCGCTCGAATGTGAAACTGCTTCCTGGTCCATCCTGCCACGCTGGTGGGATCCCGGGGCTTTTTTGTTTGTTTGTTTCAAATTGTTTGTTTGTTTGTTCTTTCTTTTCTTGAATTGGGAGCCCATTCTAGCCGGGCGGAACTGCTCGGCTTGGGACCTACACCCTCAGTTTGCAGAAACGCACAGAGAGATCCCTAAGGGCATTTCTTTTTTTATGGTTTTTTTTTTTCCTTCTGTTTTTTTGGGGGGGTTTTCTTGTTCTTTTTTTTTAATTTGTTTTGTTTTCTTTCCCCTCTTTTGTCTTTCTTCATTACTCAGTTTCTTGTCTCTCTATAGCTTCCTTCTCTTCCTGTCCCCTGAATACCTGGCCCTGAGTGACGCCTTTACGCCTTCTAGCCAGGCTGTACTTCAACGCCTGGGAGCAACTTCCACAGACGTTGTAGCTGCACCAGTGGGATCCTTGGGAGCTTTTCTTTTCTCTTTCCAATTTTTATTTTTTCATTTCTTTTCTTTTCTTTTTTTTTCTTCTTCTCCTTCTTGTTTTTCTCCATTTCATAGTCTCTCATCTCTCCACTCCAATGGCAAGCTCCCCTAGCACTCTTTTTTGTTTGTTTGTATATTTTTGGCTCCTGTTCCTCTCTTCTCTCTCTCCTC